GATTCAACTGAGAGACAATGCCGACATATTAACAAACCAAATTCTTCACGCAGACATAGCAAATTGAAAAAGAAAATAAAGAAAAAGTTGAAAAAGAATAAGAAGAAAAAAAGAAGAAAAATATACATAATTTAATTTGAAAAAAAGAATATGAGAAAAATCCATTAATATTTAATACATGTGAGGAACAAATTATTTTATACAATTACAATTTCCCCGCTTCACTGTATTGCCGACGAAATTTATATTAAATATTGCTTAACCTGGCAGAGGTACACAATAGTGATGAAAAAAAATTGAATTCCTAGCAACGTCGTCAACAAACAAATAAAATTAACTCTAAAGAACTTCACAATGACAACATAAAGTTTAATAAAAAATGCTCACTAACAATAATCGAGATAAAGCGTCTACGAAAATCACACACACACACACAGAGACACACACACACACACACACACACACACACATATATATATATATATATATATATATATATATATATATATATATATAGTTGAATGCGATAGATATTAACAAAACTTCGTAGCGTTCCTTAAGTTAAATTCAAAGACTATATTTACATATTTGTCCACAGATTTGCCTGCACAACATTTTACTTTTCCGAATATAAAAGAGCATCAAATGACGAAAATGCATTTCATTTTTATCCCTATTTTCTCTTTCTAAATTCGCAACCCACACATGAATGTTATAAAAAGACGAGTTGAAATGTCACCCTTCAAAATATGCATATATATATATATAAATTACAGTCGCGTCTTCAAATGTCACCTATTGATATATGCTATCAATCTTTGTACCAACCCAATACTCTTCTTACAAATCTGTTTTTGTCTACATTTCAACATTGATCCTTGACCCAGTGAAAAATACAAAACTATTTCAACCACGAAATAAGCCACCGCTTATTATTTTGTTGATTCTGAACAAGCATGCAACTAATATCTCCCTCTCTCTCTTTCTTCTTCCTGCTGGTGGTCTGCAAATGATGACGACAAAATAGAATAACCTGGTTGAAATGCTGATTGCTTTCTCCTTCAACTGATCAATTCGATCACCTTTTTGTTGTTTTCCTTGTGTACCTGTGAATCTGACTCTCATTGTCCTTTTTTTATTTACAAAGTAGACACACTCTCTTGTTTTGCCCAGAATTGATACCATCAATCACTTTCATGCCGTATTACTTTGCGGTCAATGTTGATTTGACATTCACTGTCTATACATTTATTCAAGTATCGACGTATGTAAAACTACTACTTTGTATTTATATGTAAAAGAAGGATACACAATAGTAGGGGCTGTTTTTCGCGGACACGTTTTCTCATGGACTTAGTGGAATTTGGCTCAGTGACAAATGTTGTCACACGTGCGTACCCAGTTTTACAGTAAAATCCATTCGTAGAAGTCGGTTTTTCACATCTCTTTTGGTAAAAATGTTTTACTGTGTATGTATCATACTAGGTATTCTTACAATATATATATGCTTATAATTATTATTACACAGTTCATTATAATGTCCACGCACCAGAAATTAATGATATCTCGGATCGAAAGAAAGTTCAATATGTAAAAGAAAGTTCAAAAGGTAAAAGAATGTTCAAAAGGTAAAGTTCAAAAGGTAAAAGAAAGTTCAAAAGGCAAAAGAAAGCTCAAAAGTTAAATGGAAGTTCAAAAGGTAAAAGAATGTTTAAAAGATAAAACAAAGTAGAATAAATTTCAAAAGTTAAAAGAAAGTTCAAAAGGTAAGAGAAAGGTCAAAAAGTAAAAGAAATTTCAAAAGTTAGAATAAAGTTCAAAATGTAAAAAAATGATCAAAATGTAAAAGAAAGTTCAAAAAGTAAAAAAGTTCAAAAGGTAAGAGAAAGTTCAAAAGGTAAGAGAAAGTTCAAAAGGTAAGAGAAAGTTCAAAAGGTAAGAGAAAGTTCAAAAGGTAAAAGAAAGTTCAAAAGGTAAAAGTTCAAAAGGTAAAAGAAAGTTCAAAAGGTAAGAGAAAGTTCAAAAGGTAAAAGAAAGTTAGAACATAAATTAAAAAATGGCAAATTTGTGACAAAATATTGCGAACAATGCTACTACTAATATAATAATGAAATTAAAAATCTTTTAAAGAATGAAAATAATTTTCTGTTAATTGTAAATACTTTGAGCAAGACAAAATTAAAATTTGTCAATAACTAGGTTGGATTTTACAAATATTCGGGAAATTGAATGTTTTTGCGTTCTGATATTGATATGAGGATTATGTGTCACTAAATGTTTTCATTAATGTTTAAAGAAATCTATTTTACTTAATATATTCATAATTAACTAGTTTTGAATTTGTGGAATGTGCAGAAATTTGACTTAGTGCTCATCGGGTGTGGTTGGGAATCCCACAGGTGATTTTGAAGAATTGGGGTTTGTGAATTTTCTCCAAACATTGCAGTAAATATATATACCTGTAAAATATTCCATTTTCACGTGATATATCTAGCTCTGCATGATCTTCCTTCAGAAAAATCTTCAATACATTTATTTGCTTTTAATTAGATATTTCAATAAGCAAAATAATTTGTTGTATTTCAAAACTAATTTAAATTGACTGGAAGGAGTTTTCGTTTTGAAATTGCTAATTTTAGTACCAGCCATCTTTCATAAGAATGCAAATCGTTTTATTATAAAATCTTTCAAAAATAAAATATTCTTTTCGGAAACTTTATTTGAGGAACATTAACAGATTTAACCTAACAGACGCAGTTTGTCTAATTTTTTCTTACGGTGGACATATCTGTAAAAAATACTTGAGGAATATAACATGAGCGCCTTTTTATATCATTTTTAAATGCTTAGTAATTTTAAAAAAATAAGAAAATATTCTCGGTAGACTAATGTTTTATTGAATTTTAGGTAATTTGGCTTTAAATTTACTATACTTATTGCATTTACTTTCTGATAATGTCGTGTGTAGACGTCCATATTTACAAAAATTAGCACGTTTATACAAACAAAAAAATTCAAAATTCTTTTTAAAATATTGGGCGTCAATAAATTGTAGTAAGTGTTTCCATTTATGATTAGTAACTATATTTCTTACTTAATAACAGTATCTCCTAACCGGGACAAAGTAATAAAGAAATTTTAAAGATTTTAAAGATTATAAAATTATTCTAATTAAACTTTAAAAAAATGAAAACAAATCATGTAAAAGTTCATTATTCAACGAAAAAGAAAATTTTCTGTATGGACACTATTGTGTTCAGAAAATTTTCTTTTTCGTTGAATAATGAACTTTTACATGATTTGTTTTCATTTTTTTAAAGTTTAATTAGAATAATTTTATAATCTATAAAATCTTTAAAATTTCTGTTTTAAGCAATTAAAAGCTTTTCTAACTAAATCATGTCATAGTTTTAATGCTTTTTTATTTTACGATTCAGAGCAGATTTTCGGTAACTGGTGGTTCTGTTTTACAAAAAGAAATTCAATTTCTATTAATATATCAAGTCGGAAAAAATTTAATTTCTCAAAATTTCATAAAATTAAGTGAGTCTATATGTTTGTGTGGTGGAGGGATGTAAACAAAATTTTTACAAAGATATTCTAAAAAAATTTCTAAAATAATTTAATTCATTTGTGAATAAGTCCTGAAAGATTCATTAAAATCTGACAATTATTTGATTTTTACAAGAATTTCGAAATCAATGTTTTTCACCACAAAAAAGACGCTAAAATTTCCTATACTAATCTTTATTCCCACTGCTGACGCAATAAATAAAAAAAGATTTTTAACCAAAAAACATTGACGACAAAACATTGTTTTACTTAAGTTTAGGCCATTTTTTCATCATGGTATGCTAATTTTTGCGAAACAGTGGAGGTATATACTTTAATGCTTGCAGAAACCCAAATTATCAATCTACCCTAATTTTTCTTATATAGATATGTGTGTGCATGTGTTTGCACATGTTTGCGTACATGTCTATGCGTGTGAGTGTGCATGTGTGTGTGCGCGAAGTGCAAGCTAAAGTTACAAGGAATATAAACACCAACCGTGAATCAAATGTAAACCATTCTGTAAAACTGCATGCAACTGAGGAAACTAGTTGATTTTTTTGTAAGCAATATTTTTCATAGTCATTAAATAGCATTATGGGCATATATTGTATGTTCTAACTAAAGTAAAGTCATTTTAAAATTGAATAACCTCTGTAAAAATAGTAATATTTAAGATTTGTTTTACAATAACAATACGCGGAATAACATTAATTAAATCATAATGTGTCGTTATGGGTTGTAATTTTCAAGTAAAGTTTGGGACACATCCAAAGCATATTTTGCTAAGATGCAGTAACGTAAAATTAGATATTTAGTTTAATTTAAAGTTTTAAAAAGTCGGTGACATATAGTCAAACACCAAAGTCCGAACACAAGTTGAATTCTGGTGGCTTTGATTATCAAAAGTGAAAGGTTGGAAGACAACGATGTTAAATCTGAAATATTTTTACGTGGCAGCGGAAAACGATATTCTGTGTTAAATAAAAAAACTGATTCGAAATATCTCGATTTTTATAAAAGTTATTAGATGTATTTTGGTAAATCTAACGATATATATATATATATATATATATATATATATATATATAATTTGAATGATTTGATTTTGATTTGATTTTTACGGTTTATCAACCCTTTGTGGGTTATTTAAAGCCGAAAAACATTTTAGATTATAAGAATAATTCTTTTGCGAGCAATTATTGCATTCACAAATTTTGGAAGATAATGATATATATATATATATATATATATATATATATGTGTGTGTGTGTGTGTGTGTGTGTGTGTGTGTGTGTGAAAAAAGAAAAGAATCAGCTGCGAGAAATTTCATAGGTTTTCATCATGGTTATGAGATCTATAAGAATGTAAAAAAATGTAATAAACTTAGGATTAAATCTCTTTTCTTCGTTCATTCCAGGTCCATTTGGGATTTACCAGAAGCAATCTTATGGTGATTGTGGATGAGAAGAGAAATAAAATGAGCGAATGAATAATCCGAGAGAGAGAGAGAGAGAGAGAGAGAGAGAGAGAGAGAGAGATGGAGAATGCGAGCGGGAGAGAGAGAATGCGAGAGGGAGAGAAAGCAAGAAAATGTTGAAGAGAGAGTGGAAAGAAGTAAAGAAACCCTGAAAAGGAAAATGTGTAGGCAAAGAAAGAGTAATAGAACTAGAGAAAGAGAGTGAGAGAGTGTGTGTGTGAGAGAGAGAGAGAGAGAGAGAGAGAGAGAGAGAGAGAAAAGAGAAACAACTAAACGAGAGAGAAGAAAAGAACGAAAAAATGTAGAGCAGGAATGAGAGAAGATTGGATAAAATAGGAAAGAAAGAAAGGAAGAGAGAGAAACCGACAGAAAGAACGACAGAGATAGATAGATAGATAGATAGATAGAGAGAGAGAGAGAGAGAGAGAGAGAGAGAGAGAGAGAGATTATAAAGGAATGAGAGGCAGGGAAAAACAAGAAAGTGTTTGAAGAAAGAAACTAAACTGGAGAAATAAAGAGAAAAGGAGAGACTGTTTTTTATAGCGACAAGAAAGAAAGTGTACGAGAGGCCGACACACAAGTAGAAACCTTGTGAACGTCAGTCTGCGCCTAACACTTTAAGTCAGTTTGGTAAATGGCGTGGTCAGGCTTAGTCAATAAATATAGCGCTCTGTGGAATTCTTGTACACTTAACATCTGGCAACAGGCAGCAGCGGTGAGGCTGGCAGGAAGGAGGATCGAGAAAGAAAGGACCCTTGAGTGAAAGGATGCATAGAAGGAACCAACCTTTCATTGGAGAAGCATCAAGTTCGCTTAATGCGATATCAGTTTGTGTTTGTGTGTTCGTTACTTGCTTTCAGCCCGATGTGTTCTTGAAAAGACATGTTGTTAATGAGGGAAACGATTCTCTCTCTATTTCTCCTTAGGTCTCTCTTTTATCCCCCCCTCTCTCTCTCTCCGTGTATGTGTTTATTAACAAATTACTGATGTGAGATATTTTGGGTTCTTCCAACTCAGAGAATGCAAAGTGTTTCCGAATTAACACGAATTCGAAATTTTATATTCCTATCAATCGGAAATTCATATAATTTATGTCAAATTTCGGTGCGAAGGAAATCATTGGTGAAATGTTTTGGTCAGTATCAGTAATAAAATAAAATTTTAGAGAAATGTTTGAATTGTCTGTTTCAGCTGGTTCCTATCTATCTATCTATCTATCTATCTATCTATCTATCTATCTATCTATCTATCTATCTATCTATCTATCTAAGCATTTGTTAACGTGTCAAAATCATTATTAAAAAGATGGATTCCTTGTTTAGAGTATTATTCAGTCAGTGTTCTATCCATTAAGATTTATATTGTACTTTATTTGGCACAAGATCAAGCAAGTGTCACAGAGAATGAATTCCAAACATAGAACACTAACAATCGTCTGTGGGATTTGTTGATCATTTCTTCACGGCAGCTTTCCACTCACAATAAATGATACAAATAGATAAATTTATTGCAGTTGAAAGATAAAACCAGTCAATATTTGAATAGTGATAAATCTGTTGTCAACTGTGAAAAATAATCTTTATATGACACTCAGCTTCCAACATCACTGAAAATGAATAAAACTCTGAAGATGTTTGGTTGCAAATAAATGACTTCTTCGATTTCCTTTTTTTTTTCCAAATTGGCTTTGCGTTCAACTCTTAACACTGTAAACTGCATATCAAGCTATCATAAATTGGTTAAACGAATTTTGTTAGTCTAAATGACTAACAAAATGATGTAGTCCCTCCTTATCGATGTAGAAAGTAGAATCGGTGAGACGAGTTCAAATTCCAACCTCGTCTGTTCTGTATCTGTCTATATTTCTGAGATGAGGTATTATGTACATTATTTACATTATTCGGACTATTGTCCTCATCTTTGTCGCCATATTTATTACAACGTTTCGGTCGTTGTACGCTCCGGCTTTCTTCCAACCACCTGAAGAAGGCCGGAGCGTACAACCGCCGAAACGCTGGAATAAATATGGCGACAAAGATGAGGACAATAGTCCGAATAATGTAAATACTGTACTCGTCTATTCTGTTCAGTTTAGCACTAATACCTTTGCTAAAGTACGGCTCTATTTCTTCTCACCGAAGCTCGGGGTTATATTAGGGCAGGTTGGGCACTCTAGTCTTGGATAGCGGTTAGTCTGGGAGGAGAACTACTCTTAATATAAAACCATGAAGAAGAGAACAGGAAACTACTTCACTATCTTTCCTAAGAAGCCATGGTAATACAATGATAATAATGAAAATGAATCTTTGGATACCAATCATGAAGAGATATGGCGTTAAAAAAGCCACATTTTGTAAAATCAAGTTTTTTTTTGTTTTTTTTTTTTGTAGTAATTCGTTGTGTATGTTTTATTGTAACAGACAAGATTCCAAACACTGAGTGGCAAACCATGAAAATGTGACTCAAGCGCCGAAACCGAATTAAAGATTTGGTTAATTTCTCCCGACTTTTCTATGCTGCGATAAAATCTCATCAGAGTTATCCAGTCACAAGGCCTTAATAAACACCTTGTGACCGGAGAACTAATTTGATGTTTGAGGAGAAACCAGTAATAAATCAAAGTAATTTCGTACCTTTTAGCGGAATATTTTTATATTTTAGAGTATTGTATGAATTATTATGCGCGGTCACTCACATGGGATGTGTGTGTGTGTGTGTGTTTGTGTGTGTGTGAAAGTGAGAGGAAGACAGATGAAAAGTGAAAAAAATTGTAATCAAATTTGTTTTATGTTTTTAATAAATAATTTATCTTCTGTTTTGTCTTAAATTGGTTTATTTCATAACATAATTATTTATGATCGAGGAATTTAAGGCGATTGATTAACATGAATTTTTATGATCCTCTACACCGATAACATAGCTTTGAAGTAAACATACAAACAATTTCAACTCCCCAAATTTCTTCCCATCCCCACCTCTACCTACAGTAGAGAAGAAACTATTGCACTAACTAAATAGGAAGATTGATATTCTTTTTAATTGGTCGTTGAGTTAGACGCATATTCTCACAGGTACCAAAGCTCGGTCTAGTGTTCGAATCCAGATGAAATGGAAATATCTCAGATGCTGAATTTGAAGCAGTATGTGCTTAGAAAGTTGGTGCAACATAATATATCTGCCTTCTTTATTTGACTTTCTGTCGCAATAAGTTAAGATGAAGAAGTTTCCATATTTTTAACTCCACTTTAAAATAATTTATTTTGATAAATATTTTTAGCAGCTACTGATTTAGTGTAAATTATTGTTTTGGGTACAAGATGATTTTATTATGATGTTAAAGATTTATGTATATGCAACAGCGAGTGATATTCCTTGCTGTAATTTATTTGCATTTTAGATTAGGGCTTGGAAGGTATCGACCAATTCAACCCCCCCACTTTTTCGAGCTCATTTACATAGATTTGGTTAGTTACACATATCAATAGTTTATATTATACATACATTTATATACAAGAGTGCATACACACACAGAAACATACACACACACACACAGAAACACTTATACTCTTTCACAAACATTTATAAAACAATAGGTACTAAAGAAATAGTCTTCGTGTGTAAATATTAATAGACATATATATGAAGGAATGTTGAAAAGTTTTCAGACGGAACCACTTTCCCAATTATTCAAGCGTAGAATTTTTAGCACCTCTTCGTATATTTTTGCATCTGTAGAAACTAGGGTGTGTGTGTATTTGTCTGTCCCAACTGTGTGTTTAGTGCTAATATTCCTCATGTATTTTCTGTTACATTAACTTTGTCAAAATACAGATTTAATCTCATGATCTGTTGTTTAAAACGGGTATTTTCATCAGTTGAAAAATCTCTTCTACAAAAGAAGAAATTATTGGAGAAAAAAATCACTTTCAGACATTTTGAAAAGAAAATATCCTTAATTCAGCAATTAACGCCAGCATATTTGAATGGAAACCTAGTGGACAAAATGTCATGAATCTGGCTGGTGATGCTCATTACTTGTGAAATTTGAGCCCGTATTCAGATTTAAGTTGGATTTAGATTTTTTGGTGGTTTGCGAAATGGAGAGACAATCTCTGATTTCCTCAATTGGTAGGAATGGATAAAGTCCAATCATGCTGACACTGGAACCGTTTCTTCTTGTACACGTCTATGTGCATATGTGCGCGTGCAATCGTGTATGTGTGTGTACGTAAAAGCTACTAATGTGAAACAGAGTTAAAGCAGACTTTCGCGTGCATATACGAAAAAGAGAGAGAGTTATAAAGAAGTGTTATGCGTGAGGTCACACTTGTGAATGTGAGATGGTCAATAGAAAGAGAGAGAGAGAGAAAGAGAGAGAGAGAGAAGAGGGATAGATGGAGAGATCACAACGTATATGTGTCTCTCCCTTGTACCTGTGGGTACATAAGAAATCACTCTGCATCTATGAATCCCATATAAATAGATCAAAATAGGCATGAGTCGCACAGAAGACATCACGCACGCGTATGTGAATAGAAAAGAAAGCAACTCGGTATATTGAGCAGGTGTAGTAAATGCACAGTAAGTAGCAGTTGATATATTGCCGCAACACAATCTTCCTAGTAGTAAATAAACGATGAAAATGTATGATGTAATATCTATGCACGTATGTGCGTATACATTACACGTGTGCGATTTCTTGACGTAGGTATTTCATTTGTATGTGTGTATGCAATTATATGAAAGAAAGATAGAGAATAAAATAAGCTAATTGTTTGTGTGTACAAAAGTATGAATACTGAATGCGTAAATATGAGTATATGTGTGTGTGTGTTTGTGTGTGTACTTGTGGGGGCGTGTTTGCTTTTTCCTTCCTGTTTGTGCAGATTCAGTCATTCATTCAGCGATTACTTCGTTTATTCATTCATTGTCTTATTTGTCCGCTTCCTTCGTCTCTCTTTCACCTCCGGAGTGCTCTCTTTATTTTGTAAGGGCTTTTGTCTATCTTAAAAACACTTCGGTGCTTTACTAACACTCCTTTTTGCATTCATCACTATCGGGCCCTCACTTTATCGGTGGGTGTGTCAGATAGATAGATAGATAGATAGATAACGAAAGAGAAAGAAAAACAGACTGAGATGAATCCCATCAAACAGGTAATTCAAACAAATGAATTGATTATTAGCAGCTAGGAAGATTAGTTAGCGCACATTTTCTGTCATGAAGCTTGTTTTCATTAAATTTAGTGTGTTCATATTTATCTATCATTCAAAAAGTAGAATTATGGTGTCATGGACTAAGTAAACAAGTTGAATAATGATAACTGGGTTGCTCGTTGAATGTAAGATTGAATGTAAGATTGGAAGATCGTATAGAGCCAACCTAATGAAGTGTTCATGAATTTACTTCTATCATGGAAAAAAATCTATTAAAAATGTCCCTCCATCATCCTCAAATTTCATCCACTTCCACCTGAACCGAATATTTTGTTGTATTGCCACTAAGCCGGCTTCTCTCTGAGCGAGAGTGAGAAAAAGAAAGAAAGAAAGAAAAGGAGAGAAAGAAAGAAAGAAAGAGAGACAGGTTTTGGGAAGATTCTGTGAGTTTGTTTCGGATTCCTCTCACCTATAATTTGATTATCTTCGGTCGGATTCTTTTCTTCCGACTTTCCTCATTAAACAATTCCGGTTCCCTCTGAGAGAAACCTAACCATTTTCTGTTTAGCGTGTATACGAATAGCAGGTTGCTAACGAAATATCCCGAGGTTGAGTGATGATCCAAACAAAACCCAGGTACGATGAAAAAAAAAAAAAATATATAAAGAAAGAGTGATATATATATATATATATATATATATATATATATATATATAATAACGAGAGAGAGAGAGAGAGAGAGAGAGAGAGAGAGGGAGAAAGCGGGTGGAACCAAGGGTAAGCGTGAAGAAAAGAAAAGACATTAAAGAAAGAAAATGTGTGAACTTTCAGGAGAAAAGAAAAAGACAGCTAAAATCAAAACATAACTGAACGAGAGAGCGAGAGAGAGAGAGAGAGAGAGAGAGAGAGAGAGAGAAAAAAAGGAATGTATAGAGGTGTAAAGAAAAACGAATGAGGAAATATGAATCTGAACATATAGTTAGATCGAGATAAAATGGAACAGATATGAGCAGATTGAGATAGAGATATATAGATAGATATAAGCAGATTGAGATAGATAGATAGATAGATAGACAGACTATAGATAGAACGAATAGAACGATATGAACAAACCGAGAGATAGATGGATAGATAGATAGATAGATAGATAGTACATAACTAAGGTTAAGGACATTATGAAAGAGGGAAAGAGAAATAGATGAATTAATTGAAAATATAACTGAGAAGTAACCAGATGCATTGAAGATACATACATACCAGTGCCAAAAATTCGCATATATTTAAAGTACATTCTCATTTAAACTCAGCCTCTATATGAGAGAGATATATAGAGAAGAAAGAGACAAAGAGAAGGAGGGAAAAATTATGAATTCGTAAGAAAACAACAAAGAAAGCGTGAAATTGTGTAGAGCTTCTAGTGTGTGCATGGGTGCGTGTATGTAAGTAAAAAAAAGGAAAAGGAGAGAAAGAAAGAGATAAAGTAACGAGAAAGCCGTCAGAGCAGCAGTTACTGAGCAGCAGCAGCGGCAACACAAGACAAAGCGAAGGAGGAGAAATAATGCGAGAAAGGAAAAGCAAGCAAATCAGTGACAAAAGTAGGAGGTATGGTTTCATTGGGAGTAGCGGGTGTAGTCAGAAAATGGTGAAGGGAGAATAGGGATAAATACAAGTGAAATTCAAAGGGGGAGGAAGGGGAGAAAAACAAAACAAGAGTGAGGGAGTCAATATGTTGAGAAAGAGAGTGCGTAAAAAGAGGCAGTTTTATGTTAGAGGGTTGGGTGATTAGAAAGACGATAGAAAGGGAGAGGGCGATTCGAACACAGAAAAAGGAGTTTTTTTTCTCTCTCTCTCTTTCTCTCTCCTTTTTCGAGCAAAAAGAGGAGTGCTTCGCACTGAAGCTAACATTTACGTTATGGCTGCCGCGGTGGTGGCTGTTCTGTCTCCCGCGGTTTCCACCTGTGAACCACTGTCGGCTGCGGCAGTGGGGGCAGGGGCCGAGGTCGAGCCTCCTGCCATTGGAACCTCAATATCACCACCACCATCGCCACCACCTTCTGGTTTGCCTACAGCCAAAGTATCAGGAACTGTATACGCAAACGTTGCCGCCACCACTATTATTATTAATAATAACAATATCACTTCGGCTCGAGGAGTTAAGCCGAATTCTTCATCCCCTAATGCCATTGCTGCATCCACCGTCTCCTCCTCTTCCATCTCCACCGCCGACTCATCGTCCTCCTTCGCATCCCTGATTACTCCTTACAAGAACACCTGTGAACAAGACACAAGAAAAACTAAACACTTAAAGATTCCAACCACAGTTACAACCAACAGTATTTCATCGCCGTCATCAACCCTTAACAGAACTGTTATCAAAACCACTTCTTCGATTACGGTCTGTTCTGCCAATGACGGCACGGAGAGAGCTAATACTACCATTTGTCCAGGTTCAATCCCTACTTTTACTACTACTACTACTACTACTGCAAAGGCCGGTGCTACTATCAGAGCGACGGCACCACCGCCGCCTTCTGCTCCCACGATTACAACAACAACAACTACAACAACATCGATCATTACTACATCTGTGGTCGCATCTTGTAATAACTACAGTAGAAATAGCCATTGCAACAACAACAACAACAAAAAGAACAGTAGTGGTAGTAGTAGTAGTTGCAGTAACAATCAAAGCTTTATTAGCACCAAAACTACCAATTCGACATCTATTATTAGTACGACTTTAAAAGCAAATGGTATTGTTGTTTCTAGGTATCCGTCCCTGGATATTAGCGGGAGTCCCTCAACCCCTCGGATTACTGATGGTAATAAGGACTGTCTTCATACCCCGGCATCTATTGTCACAACAATGGGCCCTGAAGAAGAAGAGGGATATCCTGAAGTCATTTCAAACCCAAACGACGGCACCAGTGTTATTATTGTTACTAGTATTGCTTCTACTAACCCGTCATCCACTGTTATCTCGACCAACGTACGTGGTACCACCACAGTCGCCGACAGTAAAGGAAAGCCACAAAACAGTTGTAAAAAAGGTAATAACGACAGTGAAACACTTACAAATCACCTCTCACTAAACAACGAACACAATCACAATAACAACAATAACATTGAACGTTCCAAGTTTAATATACAAAATACAACAAATTGTATTAAAACCTTCCCTAGTGTCAATATTTCAAATAGCAATAATTATAATAATGACAATTATTTTCAATCGACAGACAATACACATTGTGCTGTTTTCGTAGTAAATAGAAGTCAGAATGCTGACAATATACTAAAAGTCTCTGATAGAGGTGCTAATAGTTGTCGTCATAGTGACAATTCCAAGCCTCATATAAATAATAATAATAATGTTAATGATAATGATGATGATGATGATGATAGAGGCGTAGAGAGTACAACGGACGACAGTGATTTTGACAGTAGTCAACATAGTGGGGTAGACTCGTTCAGTTGCCAAGCCGTAAGATCAAGAAAAACCACACCGTCCAACAATATCAATAACAACAACAGCAGCAGTAGCAGTAACAGTACAGGCAGCTGTGGCAGTAGTAGTATAGCATCAGCGTCTATTACTTCTACATGTGCTACGAATTCGACAACAGATTTCTCAAATACGTCAAGAAATAATATAAGTAGCTTGAATCAATCTGTCATTACAAATGGTATTTCAGCTTCATTGTTGTCCACTTCAGGCAGTCATATTAATATCTCTACATTTAGGACAAAATCTAATTCTGCTGGGGTCAGAAAACACACAAAAAACACAACGCATGATTTCGACACATATACTAACGATAATGCTACTGCTACAACTCCAAGTGAAAGACTGAGCATAATAAAAGTAGCAGTTAAGAACGAATCAAATATTGAAAATCTTCATATCTTAAACAATGCAATCGGTACCACCCGGACGACAGACTACAGTCAGGACAACGAAACCCAGGGTGGGGAAGAAACAGATTCCATACAGACCCACCGTCATCACCGGCCACAACAAAATCACGCAACGACGCCGTCGTCTCCACCACCCGAAAAAACAAAGCGAACACCACCACCAGCCTTGGTACTTGGACCTCCACCGCCGCCCACGACGACAACGCGAAAGAATAAAAGAAAATTAAGTGAACCGCGCAAAAGAACAGATTTTAGCATCAAGCGATTCTGTTCGGATAACGACGGAAGCGATGCTAATTACGAGGAGGAGGATATTTTGCCAGAGAAGCAAGGGACGTCACTCCTGCTCGGGTCGGTGCAGGAAACCAGCAGGGTTGACTGTGGGAATAACAGGGTTCGGCTGATCGATGAAACACTTTACGACAGGGTCGAAGAAGGCCGCCAACCTTTGCTAAGCCAACGTTCCCGACCCCCTGTTCAACTTGGCCACACTTCAACACGAACTCTTTTAGATACGGACATGTATTGCCGCCCACTGGGGCGGATAACCCCAACCACAGCCGACCAACCCCTGCTCGAGTCTTGCACGGTAAGAGGCGATATCTGTTCGTCCTCACCAACGTCCTTACAGCTTTATCATCGGCGATCACGTGAAGACGAAGAAAAGGAAGATGACGACGCGGACGATGACGACGATGACGACGATGCAGACGACGACGACGACGACGACGATGACGACGACGACGACGACGACGACGAGGTTGAAGATCTTGACGAAGATCTTGACCCGGACGATATTAACGAGGAGGTTGTCAACGGGACTTCCCCTCCTTCCCAACTTCGGCCATTCCGCGTGCCTCACTCTCAGCACCGTCGCAACCGTCGTGTTTCTGACGGAGGGGCGGCCAGAGATGAGGCAGGGAACCTAAAAAATAATCGGGGTAGCCGAACCGGCGTGATACGCAACCACGAATTAAATACTTCACGCCATCCGGTGTCGACAGCAGTGGTTACAACGAGTAGCACTGAAACGGTCAGCTCTGGAAGGGAGCCTTCCGCAAACGTTCCGATCTCCAGCGCCCATACTGCTGCTGCTGCTGCTGCTGCTGTCGTTGTTCCAGGTTCATTATCTCCCCTTTCGTCCATACCTCCTCCCCCGCCGCCTTTACCTCCATTGACTTCGCACTTGAACGGTTTTGTCCACCACCACCATCATCATCATAATCATCATCTTCATAACCAGCACATTCACGGCGGGGTTGAGGGAGTTGTCGACGGTTTTAAGCCTTCAGGTGGTGTTGGGTTAAACAGTGGTGGTGGAGGCAAGAAACCCCGGAAAAACTACAAGAACATGACACGTGAAAGGAGGATTGAAGCGAATGCTCGGGAACGATCCCGGGTTCATACGATCAGCGCTGCTTTCGAAAATCTCAGGAGGGCTGTACCTTCTTATTCGTGCAATCAAAAGCTTTCTAAGTTGGCTATTCTCCGAATTGCTTGTTGTTACATTCTCGCGTTGGCCCGACTGGCAGACATGGATTACTCAGAGGAACAGAGCGCCATGTCGTTCGCCGAATGCGTGGATCTATGTACAAAAACAATCCAGACAGAAGGTAGAGCGCGAAGAAGACATTGAAATTTTTTAAATAATGGATAACATAAACACAATTGCAAAAAAAAAAAAAAAAAAGAACAACAACAAACAAAAACAAAAAACAAACAAAAAACAAAACAGAAATGGAAGGAATTGATTTAGAAAAAGGAAATGAAATTTCACTTTTTCTCTTCCTATTTATTTTACATTTTTCATTTTTTTTGCCTTTCAGTGTAAATCGAAGTTTTTTTTAAAAAAATTCTAATTCGACATTTTTTTCCAGTTTATTTTTTGTCTACAACTTTACATGTTTTTATTTTCAGCACGAAAACATTGTTCTGTTTAGTTTTTAAAATGCGCGAAGTTTAAATGAATGAACTTCATTTAAAGTTCATTTTTGGCGAATTCAGCAACCATCTTTCTTGTGTGTGTATATATGTGTGTGTGTGTGTGTTTTTTTTTTTTTTGTTTTTTCTTTTTTAAGTTCCAACCATCCGGTGCAGAAACAAAAAAAAAAAAAATCATTTTATTATTATTTATGAGTAAACACATTTCCATATCTTCAACTCATTTTTTTTCTCTAGCGATATCCACCACCGACAACAAAAAAAGTCACCAAAGGCAAAGAAAAAACTAATTACCTTGTCATATGCTACAGGGCGAAAGAATATAAAAAATAACGCTTTGCAGCTGAGGCAGCAACTAGTTGCAGTTAGATTTTAGTGGGACTTGTTAAATTCCAAAGTTTTACATATTCAGTGCTTTCGGTTTATTTTATAGATTTATTCGTGGGTCCTTGTTTTGAAGAATATTTTAACGTTTTTATCAACATTTTTTGTGTGCTATTTCTTGTGTTTAGAACAAAAATTTAACGGAACAAAGAAATTTACTATGAGAAAAAATCAGTTTTTTAAGTTAACATTTGGATTTTATGAAACTTTACGCATCATCTTAGAAAGTGTCTACGCTTTTCCTACGCTTGTTAATTACGTCTAAGATTCCAACACATATTCCCTTAATTTTTCTCTCTGCTTTATTGAAAACTGACAAAAGTTTAAGTTTTTTAAGTCGGTTTCTCACGACAGAAATGTTAAATTTGTAGAAATTGGTTATGTAAATATTTTATCGCTTGCCCATGAATGTTGTAAAAAGTGCAGTTTCAACTTATTTTTATACAAACAATTGATAGTAGTGTTTGATTTGGCCTCAAAATAGTTAGTAACTTTTTTTTTATCTCATTGGGTACGCTGTGGATGTTATTCATTCAACAAATATCACACTGTGAAATTTATTTTAAAGATTTAATAATTTTGTTTTAGCAACTTAAGCGATTCGCAAATATTGTATTTCTATGGGGAAGTCGGAATGTAGTATTTTTGTTAGTCCCCAAATGGCAAAGGGATTATCAGTTTTCAGATACAGGTGTCTACGTACATAAATTTAACATAAACCTTTTTACTCAGCCTTTTTCCCTTTCCCCTTTTTATGTCGCGCGCTGCCTTCAGGTATTTTATTATTTTTGAGTACTATTCAACTGTATCTGTTTGTTATGGTTGGAGATAGTCGCCCAAGATCACTGAGTGGATTTTCCACATGAACCTTGATAGGTCGATTGTGCTCTCTTTATTTATTTTTAATATCACCCGATTCAAGTTTCTTACTGTTTTTCTTTCTTTTTTATTTCTAAGGCTGGAGAAGGGAAGTTGATAGTTTTTATTTCAGTCGATGATGAGCCCAGTCATCCAGATATACGAACTTCTTGACAAACTGATGTAAGTAGTGGTTAAGAAAGTGTATGTTGCCTTTTACCAGCCAACGTCACTGACTCTGCTGCCTACTATCTTTGCCGACCCTCGTAAAGAAAAAAGAAAGCGCCCCGCCTTGCAAAGAGATAGAGGTCATTAAAAGCCCCTGATGGGTTCATTTTTCGAGACATCTGGCGAGCAGTCTCCCTCCAGCCAAAACTGCTATTTCTTCCTCTTCCTTGTGTAGATAATCTGCAACAGAACTCTGTTACTCGCTATATTTCTGACAGTGACACAGGCATATTTCGAAATAATGGAAAAATAGATTACATTTCTTGTCGTACAGCCTATAGAAAGTGTTTTTTATACGTCTCGGGTATTTTCTGATGAAAGCTTTTTTGTAACGATTTGTTTTTTTTATTGTCAGTCATATAAGTGAAATCATTTTAAATATATCATCAATTTGATAGAATATTTATAATTATTTCACTTCTACGTAAGTGTGTGATCAAGAATGAAATATAATTTATCAATTTTCCTATGAAATTTACGTTTTTGAGAATTTTGTAAAATATTATACAGATTTTTAAAAATCCCTGGAAATTCTCAACAGTTGAATCTTAGGTTTTCGTGTACACAGACTTCCACGTTAGACAATAACACTTTGCAGACATTAACTTGAGTTAGAATCGTGGAACTCTCACGACTGGTCTATAAAACAAACGAATAAACTTTCCAGATAACATGGAAATAGAGAGTTCTGCCGGGTAGGAAAATAGAAAAACAATAATAATGAAAGCAGGAAAAGGTAACAAACAAAAATCGTTAATAAACAAGCGATTAACATCAAATAAAACTTCCCTTTAAAAAATTGTTAATAACGGTGCGAAATAACCTACTTTCTTTTTATCAATGCATTGTCTACACTAAAACAATTTCAGAAATAACTCAATAGATTTAGGAACGTGGAAAAACTTTGGGAAGTTTACGTCCTAAAGTAAATGATTTTAAATCTGGAAAATGTGCAACGATTTTTCTAATTTGTTTACATTAATAAAAGCGATTAAGTCAACAGTTGAATGTTTTACAATGTAAAACATTTAACTAAAATTTACATGAAACAAAACTTAGTGGAGACCAAACAGAAGTGCATGTCTATCATTTTGCCATATCTTGTAAATTTGTAACCCTTTTTTGGAACAGTCAGCAAACTAAAATCATTTTTTCTTTTCCAACTCCTATGGAAAGAAACTTTCACATTCAGAAACTTTAAAAATGTGCATTCTGTAGAACGATCTTAGTCTCTAGAGAATTTCTAATGTCGTCTAATCTTGATACTCCCTTGGTGCTAAACAATGGGAAAGATATCGAAATTTAATGTCCAAATAATTTGGGGCATTCTTCTCACCATAAATAGCATTCATTTTATCAAATATTTGCATTTCTTGTCGCGTATTTGTATTTTTGTGGATAAATTAAATCAAAATAATTTTTAAAATGAAGGAACGAGCTTAAAGCCAACTTTACAATGAGGTTTTACAAAAATCGCTAATATTGGTATTAGTTTTTCTAAAGTTTTTAAAGTGAAGTATATTTGTTATTCCACATGATATATTCAGACTGCGTGTCACCTATCTACCTAACGTGCTTGTGCAATTGTATCTCAGAAGAGTGGAGGTATATACCTACGAAGGATAGGAAATTATGGAGTGCCACGATAGTCGACGTCCTAAATTGACACGGTACATAAAATATGAATCCTAATTAAGCAGTTTTGTTTATTATTTCATCTATTGGAACTAATATCCTCATCTTTATTAATTTTTATCTTAGTGTTTCGAACGATATGTTCTCCGGTCTTACATAGGCAAATTGGCCTAATAGACTATCATGAATAAAGAAGTAATGTATGAAATGCCAGGATAGACACACGTCACAGCATTAAAAAAAAACAGAAATGATAGGGATACTACTCCGATAATACGGGCCGTAATGAATATTTGTTATTGGATTGAATTTAAAAAAAATATAATGTTGAATATGCCGCAATGTTTTGTGCTATGTTACTTCGGTACGTCGGTGATTACGAACCTCCACAACAACTAAATGGAATAAGCATTTAGATTAGTGTGTGTATTATGCATGTGTGTGTATTTTATTTTTAATTTGATGTACGCTGTTATATCAACATACAAAAATCAATATTCATATGTTACGCATATATAGACAGTGTCTACCAGTTAAATGAAAAATTATAGAGTAAAATATATTCAGTAGAAAAATCAGTACATTTTTAAAGAAAAATTGTACACGTGTTCACCTCAGAATAACAGAAAAAAAAGTTATTCTATAAAACTACCCTCACCTTTCGAGGACGACCCCAACGCGACTGCATGCCTGGATCAGGTGGTTCTCATTCATGTTTAGCATTACGACTACGATACTGCCTTCGATGAGTTCGCAAGCCCTCTGTATTAAGTATGAATCATTATGAGTGGGGTTCATGCAGAGCCATCTGACTTTCAAATTCTTCATTTGACTACTTTAAAAAAGCTGACTATCCCCGAGTTGTAGTTTGTGCTACGAGCACAGCGTCCCTTTTCATTTCTTGTATTAGTTTGGAAGATGCCCTGACGTTTGAAAGAGAAGTGAGAATGTTTATATTTGACACATGCCGTGTAACATGACGTTAGGTCATTTTCCATTTATAAACCTCAGAGTTGACGTGTTCTCAAATAACTGACAAATAAGCATAGACATTTCTTCTGGATGTAGGTAGTAATATTAAAGATTTTGTGGTTAAGAAGGGTGAGATTTTGAAGTACTGAATAAGAAATAGTGAATTTTCAAAAATTGTTGTGATGTTGCATCAAGTCTGACTCTTTTTAAATACTTTTAAATCTTTAAGTTATACTATTATGATTATATTGTAATCAATATACATCGCACACACATACATTATACATTACAATACATGCATACATAGTTGGATATTTTTGATTCAGTATTGCTGATAATATATTCTTGAAAACTTATTTTAAATTGCATAAAACGTTGGTATTTTCTGTCTAATTTGTCGTTACTTTCATTCTCTTAGATTATCTACAAATGAGATAATATTCTCAATGCATTTTTTGTCTCAGTAAGATTTTCTTGCTTTGTACAGATTTAGAAATTACGTTTGTTCTTAATTTAAAGCAACAATGAAGTTTAGCAAAATGTCGAACGAAACCTGTTTATTTTTGTAACCAACACAAATGAAAAAAGAATAAAAGTTAAAATATTAAATCAGTATTG